CCAATGATTATAACACTGTTTTATTTTAACTTAGCTTGAGTCCTGATGTTGGCTTGCTTGCTGGAAGGGGTGTTTCTAGGATGCTGGGACTCATTACATCTCACGGAGATCGATACGCTGAACAAAATAGTTCTGCGGTTCAGTTAATAAGTACGACCAAACATTCGCAAGTCAGATGGTTATAAAAAAAACAACATCTTGTGGCAGTTCATTCATAAGAGCGGATGTTCATAAGTTGGGGACTGCCTGTACAATATTTCCACAAATTAACAGAAATACAAGTAACAGTATTGTTGGCTTTGGGTTCACAGGACACAATAGTGGCGCTGCAGGCTCTGTCCGAGTTTTCCGTGTTGCAGTTTGGAAAAGTGTCTGGGTCACTAACTGTCTCTACCGCATTGCCGAGCAGCCCCATCACCGTGCAGCTGTCCGGCATGAATGCCACGGACAAGCGCATTGTGAAGGTACCACACCCTACCATGGCTGGCACTTAGGATGCATTCAATAAATCTCAGGGATAGGCAGGAAGCTGCTCATGGTGAGTGACAGGAAGCTGCTCATGGTGAGTGACAGGAAGCTGCTCATGGTGAGTGACAGGAAGCTACTCATGGTGAAAAGTGCACAAAGATGGTGAGGTACTTGCTTGGAATTACACTGGGAGACAGGAAGAGAAACAAACAAATAGAGAACATATCTAAGGTAAATGTGTAAATGTGACTGTTAAGAATAGTGGGCTTGGGCGCAGGACACATCGCTCAAAGGGATAAAGGATGGTGGCTGAGACTAATAATGGAGTGGCATTATGAGACCTCCTTTGCCAGAAACAAGATATAGGAATAGGTTTTACCCTTTTAACTGGCACAAAAACTGACACCTTTATTCAAGGCATCATGTTTGCAATAACCACAACACAAGCAGTCAAAATGCAAACAAAAAAGACAACTCTGATAATAATATGCACTGTCCTTGAATTTGATTGGTCCACACCCGAGACAGCTTTTCTCAGAGCCCAGTCTCCATTGGTGTTGGACCAGAAGACGCCAAAAGGCATACAACTCAAAAACAGCGCACTATCCGAGTATTGAGGGCTCGGGGTGAGCATTAACATTATGAGACCTCCTTTGCCAGTTAAAAGGGTAAAACCTATTCCTATAATGGAGTGGCAGTTAAGAAATAATTTATACCGTAGATATGGAGTGCTAAAATCAGCTTGTGTGCAGGAGCTGAATGGATTATTAGATCATGAGAGATAGTGATGAAGTTGCTAACTTTTATCCAGCAGTGCAGAGACCATCGCTGATGATAGATTCCTGTGTTTTTAATGGCATTTCATTTCTTCTATTCCAACAGATTTTTACAAGCTCAAACTTAAATGTGACTCTGTCTGGAACTGGTAGTGGACAAGTTATTGCACAGGTATTGGCTGCCCTGAAATGTAATGATAAAACAGCCATTCTCTCAAGATCCAGCGTACCACATGGGACTCTTAATTTCTGCTCGTGACCATAATATATCATACTACATTTTAAGATAGAATTTGGGATATATTAGGTTTGTATGGTGCTATTTTAGAGACCTGTATAATGGGTGATTAAAGGATTAATTAAGTAATATTATGTTCTGATGTTACCGTCTGTGATTGTCTCCTGCAAAGAATATAATTAATGTCGGTAGGGCATTTAAGACCTGGGACACTTCTCACTTGATTCCAAAAGTAGAATTTGATTATTATTAATTATGTGTATATATAAATATGATTAATGTATTTTTTTTGTAAAAGCTAAATTCGAAAACATCCAGATTATAAGACACACATATACCCACTCTATTTTGTGATGAGCTGAGTCAATACCAGATTACACTCGTGAGTGACAGGTTTTGTACGTAGACAAATTCTTTTTTGTATAAATCGGCTCCGTTAATGTCATGTAACACGGATAATTCGGGAGTGTGCTTTGGATGAAATTAAGAATGTTGTGCTGATACGTATTGCCGTGCCTTCGCAGCTGAACGTGTTCTACAACTTGCGGGATTCCCCGGTGGTACGCAGGGCTCGCTCAGCGGCCCCCAGCCCAAGCTACGAGCTCGATGTGTACTTCGAAGACACCGGGGTTAACGGTTCCATCGGAGAGCAGGTGGTGCTGACAGCATGCACAAGGTATGGAGGAGACTTGAGAGGTGTTAAAAAAAACTTCCCAATGAGCAGATGTTCTCGTACTTTGTGGTATGTCAAAGATGTCTTGGAATTGGTCAAGTTTCTTTTCACAGCAAGCCAAATACAGATGGCTTTCAATAATCTGTGGCTGATAATTATTTAAGATGTGGATTAACCGTGCTTCAGGGGTCTTCTTCGTTTGTATGGCATTCTTGAGGATTGCAATAGATTATAAATTGATATCGAGATTTGATATCCATTTGACTGCTTCAGGAGTAGCTGCTTGGATTTGTCAGATCGCCATTGAATGATCTGATTGGGCATTCATTCACGAAATGTTGCACGGTCTGAGATGTCGCACCACAGTCACAAACTGGACTTCAGGGGCGAGTGACTCACACACCTGTAATCCAACACTGAAGGCAACGGTTGGTGGATTACTTAAATGTTGAGAAATTCCATCCCATGTTTTTTGAGGTACCATACTCTGGCTTGCCAGGAGGTGGTGCAGTAAATGGGTACTCCATATGTTCCATCTGAATAAAATATATTGTTGCCACCTTGCACGTGTTGGTTTTCTCTGAGTGCTGCGGTTTCCCCCCCTATGTAAAAACGCATTAATTGGCTGAACACACCTTAATATATAGAAGACCATAGAGCTTGGACAATTGTTGATGCCAGCTCACAGCCAGGCCTCTTTCATTCTTGTGTTTTTTTGCGCATCTGAGTCGTTTTCTGTTTTTGAGAGATAAGTAAGTAGTTTATAAACAAGCAACTCTTATAACCTTGGTTACCACAAGTGTGTAGTATTCATACATTGCAAGCGCCATGAAATAGATATGTCTTGCATTGTATATTGAACTGGTTCAATGTATGTGAAGTTAGAGCATACTATTCTAAAACATTTTGAAATAATTTTAACAAGTAAACCCATTACATTTAAGAAACGGTAAAAATAGACTGACACGTGCTACATCTGCACCTTCATTATATGAACCTTATGGCAGAACCCCGGGGTCCCAAAAGCCCCAGGCTCTCGCATAAACTGTTGCGACATCATTTTATGACTGCTGAAGGCGAACGATACGGCAATATATTCCTCTTGACGAGCTCTACACGATGCGCTAATAAAAGTTTCAAAGTTTTGTTTATGACTACGGCAATTTTGGCAATGATGGGTGCTTGGTGAAGAATGAGAGGATTGATTTCTGGTGGGTGGCCACGTTTATGTGCGTGGTGGGACGGAGTCGCCAAAAATAAATTCATAAGTTACTATTTTGACTTTCGTTTATTCGAAACCCCAGGGTTTCGCCATAAGGTTAATATATTGGCAAGTAATATGTGTTATAGCCACATTTACTTACGTTTGGCAATTTCTGTTTCTTTTTTTCTGGCTACCTTTCCCATTGCCCCTGATAATCGATATTAACTGTTTTGTACATGCGCTTGAGACAAAGACACATTTTAGAGACTTTGTGTAGTGTTATTTTATTGTGGGTGGCTTGAAACGAGAAGGTGATTGTGGTTCAGATGAAGGTTGCTGTGGATAATTAAGAAGTTTAGGTCATAACTGGCTGTGATGTTCCTATCCTACCTAGCAGTTATTTTCGACTCTCTGAGTTACATTCACTAACACAGCCACCGTTAGCTGTGTTAGTAAATGGCGGCTTGCCATTCTTTTCCACCTCCATGTGACCACTGCGCTGTCTTACATTGACATACTAATCTCACAATACAATGGCCACCCCCCACAGCCACATTCACTAACACAGCCACCGTTAGCTGTGTTAGTAAATGGCGGCTTGCCATTCTTTTCCACCTCCATGTGACCACTGCGCTGTCTTACATTGACATACTAATCTCTCACAATACAATGGCCACCCCCCACAGCCACATTCACTAACACAGCCACCGTTAGCTGTGTTAGTAAATGGCGGCTTGCCATTCTTTTCCACCTCCATGTGGCCACTGCGCTGTCCGAGCTCTCGCCAAGCTTCAAATATCTTACATTGACATGCTAATCTCTCACAATACAATTGCCACCCCCCACAGCTCCATAGTACCCCCTCCCCACATTGGCTTTAGCTGCCCCGCCCATCTATAAACCATTTGTAAACAGCTCTTTGATTGGTGTAGACCTACTGCATGTTACGAGACCTCTCCTACATTAACATTAGCTGCCCCGCCCATCTCTAAACCTTTATATACAGCCTGCCTCGGCAGATTTCCCCCTTGTTTGACCTGAAGACGATTACTTGTGTTGCGATCAGAATGTCGTGATATTATTTTTTTTATTTTTTTATATCTACATGGCTTTATCGAAAGACCCAAAGAATAGTATATGCATTGTCTTCGAAACTGATTGGTCTACACCAGAGACAGCTTTCTTTAGAGCCTAGTCTTAAACAGTGTTAGACTAGAGCACACCAAAAGGCAAACAGCACAAAGACAATGCACTATCAGGACATGATGTAGCTGCTCTCAATGTCCTGATAGTGCATTGTCTTTGTTCACCTTTTGGCGTCCTCTGGTCTAACACTGTTTGAGACTTGGCTCTACAGAAAGCTGTCTCTAGTGTAGACCAATCAGTTTCAAGGAAAATGCAAAGCTATCAAAGCATGTTCTTTTGCTTGCATGTTCATCACAAGTATATGTGGTTAATGCAGACATGATTCCTTGCAAAAAGATTCATTTTGGTGTTTTAACATCTTAAAACCTGTATTATTGCCAGAAAGGGTAAAACCTATTCTTACATGGCCAACACGTTGTCAGTTATGCAAGTGCCCAACAGCATGGACATTCCACTGTGTCGTGCTTACATTTTGTTGCCACAGATGGATGGGCCAGGATGCCTCTGGCATGGCCCTCATGGAGATGAACCTGCTCAGTGGCTTCCTGGGTGATGACAGAATCGCCCTAACTGACAACCTCAAGCTCGTGGAGACATCACCAGGAAAAATCCACCTCTACTTTGTGAATGTACGTGCTATCTGCATGCCGGCCAATCACAGTGATGTGCGACCTGACTGCATGCCATCTTAGTGTGCCTGACCAATTCAGTTGCATAACAAAATAATGACAGCCTTTTTTTTCTTTTCCCCGTTAGCTAAATGAGAATACAACTTGTGTAAACATCACACAGTATAGAATTGCACCAGTGGCAAAAACAATGGAAGCGTTGGTTTCAATTAGTGACTACTATGAACCAAGTAAGTACAATACATCTCTCAAAACACTTAAAATTTGCTACAACCGACCTTTCATTTTGCTGTATGCTTTACCTTCACACTACTCATCACGGTGATCTTTAGTCCAATTCAAGTTATTACACTCTTTCAGCTTGGAGGGGAATTAATTCTATCAAATGTATCTTGAGTGAAAACAAACTTAGTCCCTTACCTTTCCAAGGAATTTGTTTATAAAGCCTTTTACAGCATCTATTGCAATTTCATATTGCATAAGCACTGCTGAGAAAATGCAATTGCATTAAATCCCTAATATTATTCAATGACATCCTACCAATCATAAATTCTGCTAGAGTTTGGTGATTCATTGAAGGTATTATCTTTTAAATGTTTTGAAAATCCATGAGTAAAATATATTCAGAATTCTGAGATGTTACATTTTCGACTGAACCTTAAATGTATAATTACGTATTGAAATAGTTTTATACCACTATGCAATCAAGTTGTATATACAATACCTAAAGTTCACAGAAATAAATGTTAACTACTGAAGTCATATTATTTAAATATGATTCTTCCAGCTGAATGTTTTTTGTCTCTCTGCATCTTTCTTCACCATTAGGAACAAGAGTGGAGATGCAGTACAAGTCCCTAACGCTGTCCAGTATAACTTTGCAGTCCTTCTGTGGTGAAAACTGCACAATTTTTCAGAGCAATGTACGTGCTGCTGCTATAAGCACTACTGCTGCCACCCAGACCACAGTGAAGGCAAGCGCCACTACTGCTGCCACCCAGACCACAGTGAAGGCAAGCGCCACTACTGCTGCCACCCAGACCACAGTGAAGGCAAGCGCCACTACTGCTGCCACCCAGACCACAGTGAAGGCTGGCGGCTCGACTGCTGCCTCACAGACCACAGTTCAAGTTATCGGGGCTACTACTGCCACACAGAGCACAGTGAAAGCGAGCAACACTACTGCTGCCATCAAGACCACAGTGAAGGCAAGCGGCACTACAGCTGCCACACAGACCACAGTGAAGCCTAGCGGGGCTACTACTACCACACAGACCACAGTGATAGCGAGCAACACTACTGCTGCCATCGAGACCACAGTGAAGGCAAGTGGCATATCAAGTTGTGGCATGAACCCTTTTCCATGGATCCTGCTGGCTAGTGCCTTCTGTCTGTCCTGGATGGGGCTCTAAGGAATAATCCTACATGACTGGGGGCTTTGAAAGCACTGGCTCCCAGCTCTGTTTTATGTATCCACTTAACAATGTCGTGCGTGTGCATACTCATAAAACATCAAACGGTATAACTGCGATGATTCCATTGTTAATGTACGTCTAGCCAAAGATTGCTGTGCAGGAGATAAGAATAGCATTATTTTGGAACACCATTATTGGTGGTGGCTGTCAACTCATATTTTACATTTGACACACTTGGACTGTGCCGCTCGCCGCTCAGGGCTGGCTCCACGGCTCTTGTGCCCCGCCCACTCACAGCTTTGGCTCGTCCATTCATGCTGCCCCGCAACACTTATCCCCCCACTCCTTCTGACACTTGGGCTGCACCCATTTCAAGCCTTTATAAACAGTTGCAGTTGGAGGCTTGCCCCCCTTTTCTCTCTGCCTGATGACGAACGCTTGTGTTGCGATCGAAACGTCGTGAGTTTTTTGTTTTTATAAAAATATATAATTGTGTTATTTTTATTTGATTATTTTCCTATCTACGTGACTTTACTGAAAGAACCAAAGAATATGAATTCCTGCAGTCACGAAAGTTATTAACCAGTTTAAGTCATAACTGGCTGCGATGTTTCCATCCTACCTTCCAATGTGAACTGTTATTTTCGACTCTCTGATTTATTTTAACAGGTTAAATGTCTCACACTAACACAGTCACCGTCGCTCGTGTCCTCAATGTGGCAGTGGCTCTGCGATCTTACATTGACATGCTAATCTCTGATTTTACATTAACAGGTTAAATGTCTCACACTAACACAGCCGCCGTCGCTCGTGTCCTCGAGGTGACGGCGGCTCTGCGATCTTACAATGACATGCTAATCTCTGATTTTAAATGAAGAGGTTAAATGTCTCACACTAACACAGCCGCCGTCGCTCGTGTCCTCGATGTGGCGGTGGCTCTGCGATCTTACACTGACATGCTAATCTCTCACAATACAATGGCCACCTCGACGCCCTCGTCATGGAGGTAGCTCTCCGATCTTACATTGACATGCAAATTTCTCACTTTAACATCACTAGCCCCGCCTACTTCGTTTATGACCCGTGGGCTACACCCATTTCAAACCTTTAAAACAGCCTGCCTCAGCAGCTTTCCTCTTTTTTCTTCTAATGACGATTGCTTGTGTTGCGATCGAAACGTCGTGATATTTTTATTATTTTATTCACTTTATTTTCGTTTTTTGTTATCTTATTGTTATTATTTTTTCTATCTACGTGACTTGACCGAAAGACCTAAAGAATAGTCACAAAAGTTTTAAATCATAACTTATGGTTATTGTTGTCACAGTTTGAAGTGACCTCACCATTGCAAGTCACCATTAATGTACCCAGCGTTACCTTTCTTGGAGAAGAGTTTATTGTGGAGGCAACTGTCTTCAACAAGCAGACACAGACAGCTCAGGTAACAATGAGGCACCTTTAAGATCAATTAACGCATTTGAAGTTTCACAAACCTTGGCACTCAACATATTGAATTATCATTTAAAATAATGATAAATGTATAGTATATAAATAACGTTTCGGTACTTATGCCTCTTCTAAGACTTGGTCAGCATGGAAGAGACAAAATGTATTACATCAATTATTCTTGAATGAAATTTATTTACGTGTTGTTATGTTTTTTAGTGTTTTAAATGTATGTATTGTGTGAAATTGGCATAAATAGACATACATATAAGCACAAATAAATACCCGTACAAATTTACTGTATTTACTGAACCGTACATACCACTCCAATCTCGAATACTTTGCATAGGGTGAAGTATATACATGCAGTATTTTCATATTTTAAAGTTATATGTAGTGTATAATAAACTGTATTTAATATTTAACACTGAAATCAAGCATAGCTACTTTTTTGTCACGCACATGGTGCCGATCACCAGACTGGCTACAGCCTTCAGAGCGGTTTTTGCCGGTTTTGCCGGATCGGCCCTGGGACAGCCAGATAATATTGGAAACCGGATAATCGATGATCAACTGTGCTCTCTGGAGGGCCCGATAGCCCTCTCTCCAGAGGAGGTGTTTCTGCCAGCAGTGGTGTGCACAAGCAATTGCAGGTCTTCCGGTTTTTTTCATTGTTTTTTATAATTATGATGTTTTATTGTGAGAATTTCAATCTGATTCTGACGTTATTCCTTCCATCAACATTTACCTATTGATTTCTAGGTCCTTGCAAAACTAATGAAGAATGAAAACTTCACGATTCTGTTCCAAAGCAACGGTCTCTCCCCCAATGAACGAAGCTTGAATGTGTCTAGTCAGAATTCTGCCACTGCCTTCTTCCCTGTTTCTCTGAATGTTGACGGCAAAGTTTCCTTCGCTGTAGTTGTCTCCTACCAAAATGTAGATTACACAGTGGTGGGATACACATTGGTCAAGGTAAGTGTCTGCTAGCGTGCGTGCATGTTCTCAGATACAGCTGCAATGGGGCCACGTGCTGTCTGCAGTGATTGAGAATTGGGTTGTGTCAATCATGCCATGAAGGAATGGCTTGTGAAGGGAGCACTGAAAGGGAATAATGGCTCATTCCGCTTCATTTCATGTGGGAGTTCAGTCCTTCCATATAGTAATAATTTTCAGAATTTCTGTGAATACTTCATAAAGAAATCATGATTGTTGAAATTTGATGAGCAACCATGCATATAAAAACAGTAACCAAATAATAAGAATTCAAGTAACGTTAAGCAGTCACACCAAGGAGGGAGTTGTTAGAATTATTATAGCCCCCCTTCTTAAAAGATGGTCTACATCCTTCCAATCTGTGCTACCAGTCGTATGGTCCAGTTAGCTGTGATTATATCTACACACAATTGCCACTCACCCTCAACCACTCTCTTGGAAGGTAAGCACTGCCCAGCACTTTATCTGGCCTTAGGTTCTGTATTTCCCTACACACTTCCTCAACAGATGGCACATTAGCCAGCCACTCACAGGGAGCACCTACTTCCTCCAATATTCGAGGCATGGTAGCCCCATTAAGGTCAAATGTACCTTGCCCCAAGTTATCTCAGATCAGGGGTTTCCCCTCCCCCAAGATTTCACAAATATCATCAGTAACCTACAAACCTGTTAGTGAGGTTCTGAGATCGGATCGCTGCCCTTGTATCATTTACTTCTAAAAACACAAATATCAGGGACCCGCTATTTCACAACTTTATAAGAAACACTAGAAATAATAGCATACAAGGGATCTTCCCATCCAATCAGATAATTTTCAACACATGTATGTTCACAGTAACCAATCCGCAAATACAACCGGAGCACCATTTGTGATGCACAATAAGTTTACTTCCACCTCCACCAATTTGGTTCATTACATCACACGCAAACACTGTGGCCTCCACTACATTTGAGAAATGGCTAAATGCCTCGATGATAGTTTCATGGAACATCTTCCGTCAGAAATGTTTGTTTCATGGGTGTACCTCACATTCATTTTATCAGACTTCTCTACCTCAGGAATGTAGGACACTTACATTTAATTTATTGAAATGGTGATTGGGCCCAGGAATGTATTTCTGGACGGATTGTGCCTTGTTCACACAAGAACAAACCTTGCAAGGTGACAGCAACATTTTAAAATTTGAACATAAGCTAGTTTACATCGTAATACATTTTGAAAATTGTAGGGTTTGTCCCGTACTTAATGTATAGTATTCGTTAACTATTAATCTGCCTGTTTAAAACTGCACATCAGATTTTAGTGTATTATCATCAGGTCCTATGGTGTAAAGTGCAGTCTGCAATCCGTGTTATCTCTCTGGCCTTCTTTTGTATGTGCTGTGAACAAGGGCTGTTGCCTGAATGTAGCATTTTTTTTATTTTAAGGCCATGTTGTTGACGAATTTTCCGTCTCAATGTCTGACAAGTGGTGTAATCTTAAGTGTCGTGTTTTTCCCATCATGCAGTATCCAGGCTTCCCACAAACGTACTCGGAGAGTGCCCTCCTCAGCCTCTACGATAATACAAATTTCACAAGATCATTTGTGTTCAACTTCCCACCCAACATCGTACAAGGAAGCAGTTCAGCCGTCCTTTACATCTACGGTATATGTCCATTGGGCACCATGCAAATTCATTCTCACAGATATATACAGATTGCGATTGTTGGTGTTTTTGCTTATATATGATTCTACATCAGGGCTGACTACAAGATTTATCTGAGTATTATCATTGTTATGGTCATAGATATGTAGTTGGATAAATAATGGGAAATTGCTTTGCCATGTAATAAAGAACTATAAATGGAATATGTATGCGCTAACTTTTTAAATTGTGTTATATGTTGTTAGAAAGCACATAATGAAAATTGAGCCATCTGGTAGCAGCATATGACCACGTCTCAATAATAAAGTGTGATTACATGCAAAACATCAACTGGATAGGTGGATTTATATGAATTAGGTGCAGATGAGCCAGCCACAAGTAAGTCAGTGGCATCCATAAGTAATTTAGTAGCTACTGCTCAGTGCTCCACCAACCACCACATCAGGTAATGAGCTCCAATAACAATTACCAGGAATACTCAGATGGTTTATGGATGAACAAGTTATTTGTAGAGTACTGAAGCGTGATTGTGGCTTTAAACAGTGGCCTTGACATTCGCTTGTGTGAAACGTGCAGGAGACATCGTTGGACCCTCCCTCACTGGGCTGGACCAGCTCATTCAGATGCCGTACGGCTGCGGGGAGCAGAACATGATCAACTTTGCACCGGGAATCTACATCCGGAAATATCTGGACGTGTCCCGCCAGACAACGCCAGATATCGCTGCTAAATCCTTGAATTACATGAATTCAGGTAATGTAACATTCGAATTATTATTGGGCTGTTGTATAGTATATATTATGTTGCTCTTCATTCCAGTATCCTCACTTCCACACATTGACTTGTGAACTGCTGAATCCCGTTTTAAGGTGATTTAAAAAATTCAGGTTCACCAATCATTCTATGCGCCAGCGGCGAGATGTTCGGTGGCAATGCATTTTTACACCCTTGGTAATATTTTTTTCATTTGAGTTTCAGTTGTGTAGCTGTTGGTAGTTTTTTGAAGCGGTGCGATTTATTTTCACCCTTGAAGGGTAACCATTATCGTTTGTTGCAGTGGTTCATCAGCACAAATATTGTCTAGATTGTATATTGTTTGGTTGTCTATCATCTTTGTAAACTATTGATACATAGGAGGCTAATTATTCTCTAATTCTTCAAATTACAAAATCTCATTAATCAAAAACACTCTTATAAAAATAAACAAATATAGGCAACCGTTTGGTCAATGGCTCTTACTCATTGTTTTTTTCGGTAAAGTCACGTATGTAGAAATACAATAAAATTATATTAAAACAAAAACAATCACGACGTTTCGATCACAACGCAAGCGATCTTCATCAGGTGTCAAGAACAAATCACGGAGGTAAATACAACAAAAAGATGAGAGACGAGAAGTCAGCAAACCTGAAAAAACATTATGTGAAGCACATCCAGTCAGGCCAACAACACAGTTAGACACTTCCTGGCGGACCACGAATTTCAGAAGAGTGTTAAATTTCGTGTTCAACCTTTGGATTGCACATACCAGCATAGATAGAATGAAAAATACGAGGTACACGGTCAGTAGAAGTACATATACAAGTCCACCAAGAGGTAAGGAGGGAGGAAAGATGGACAGGGAGGCAGAGAGAGAGGGGGGGGGGGGGGATGAACAGAAGCTTGAATAGGAAATACGGTTGGAGGGGGGGAGGGACCAGAGCGAGAGCGGCAGCTCAAAAACGCACATCTTACACATACAAAACGGCAGCTCAAAAAAGGACCACCTCTTGTAAATACAAAACGGCAGCTCAAAAAATGACCACCTCTTGTAACTACAAAACGGCAGCTCAAAAAAGGGCACATCTTACACATAATTACAACGGTAACTTCCCCGTAGAAGTGTGATAATAAAGTATTAAAGCTTTCGTGACTGCATAAAATTACTCATTGTTTTTTTTTTGGTAAAGTCACATATGTAGAAATACAATAAAATTATATTAAAACAAAAAAACAATCACGACGTTTCGATCACAACGCAAACGATCTTAATCAGGTGTCAAGAACAAATCACGGAGGTAAATACAACAAAAAGATGAGAGACGAGAATTCAACAAACCTGAAAAAACATTATGTGAAGCACATCCAGTCAGGCCAACAACACAGTTAGACACTTCCTGGCGGACCACGAACTTCAGAAGAGTGTTAAATTTCGTGTTCAACCTTTGGATTGCACATACCAGCATAGATAGAATGAAAAATACGAGGTACACGGTCAGTAGAAATACATATACAAGTCCACCAAGAGGTAAGGAGGGAGGAAATATGGACAGGGAGGCAGAGAGAGAGAGTGGGGGGGGGGGATGAACAGAAGCTTAAATAGGAAATACGGTTGGAGGGGGGGAGGGGCCAGAGCGAGAGCGGCAGCTCAAACACGCACATCTTACACATATAAAACGGCAGCTCAAAAAAGGACCACCTCTTGTAAATACAAAACGGCAGCTCAAAAATGACCACCTCTTGTAAATACAAAACGGCAGCTCAAAAAAGGGCACATCTTACACATAATTACAACGGTAACTTCCCCGTAGCAGTGTGATAATAAAGTATTAAAGCTTTCGTGACTGCATAAAATTACTCATTGGTTTTTTCGGTAAAGTAAAAGTATCACACAGGTTAAGAGCAGGAAAATAAACACTTCCAGGAAAAGAAGCCAGGAAAGAGCTCACCTCTTTTCTCAGGAGCCTTGGGTTTAAGTCTCGTGAAGGGAGTTTATGGAGTAGAGAACACACGCGCGAGATCGCCACAGAGGTGGGGCAATGAGAACAGGGCGTGGGCAGGAGTGAGATGGATGGTACCATCATGGGACAATGCAGGATGGTGATGGTATGGGGAGGCTTTCATCCAGCAGTGGATAAAACATAGGTCATGATGAATATGACTCCTATTTGTTTTGCATATGTCATATGTTCATGTTAGTCTTGTGTAGTAGACCACACGGAGATGGAATTTAGTATATGGGCTGTTGCCGTTTATTAAACACTATTACATTCAGCATTCAAGCTCACACCAGGGGTAGGTGCTCTCTGTTCTGGTCCTTACCCTGGACCCCCGAACACTATGTCATCCTACCCTCGGCTATCCCTTGGGCTCTCTGAGTCCTCTGCCCCAGACGGGGGTTCAGCCAACACCGTCTGGCGACAAGTGGGAAATACCTCCTGCCGCCGATTCTTACCCCGGGCTCCCACAACGACCACCCCCTCGTTACGGGGTCCCCCTTAAATACGCCTTGGGCGGCTCCTCCCCCTAACTCAGACCCGCCTTTGTTCCCAAAGGTACCCCTTTACAGCACCCGTGACATGACGTCATCCTCCGCTGTCAACTCGCTTGCACCTCCCTCTGCATGCCCTCTCATGGTTGCCCACACTACTCCTCTACAGTACATTTCTACTGAACTGTTTCTCCTGATGCCCTAAAGAAACACTCGCATATAATGTACATCCGATTTGCATAAATTGAGGAAGGTATGTTTAGCATAATGAGAAAGTACACATTTTTATCCTATTGTTACCTAGTTTTCATTTCCCTTGGTATATTAAAATGGGGGCTATGCAATTAACATAAAGTACTATTTAACAGAAAGATGCTACATTGTGTGATGTCTTCGTGTTGGTTTCCAACATTGAGTTTAACACGGCAATTATATTCCGTGACTGTATTTATAGTTTGTAGTAACAAGCTAAGGATGCCGTTGTGTTTTTTCAGGCTATGAACGAGAGCTCATGTACAGGAGAAGTGATGGCTCCTTCAGTGCATTTGGAAACTCTGATCAACAGGGCAGTACATGGTAATGGCCTACAGCTATGAAACCTCAACTAATACAGTGGTGTTTCAGTTTTAGTTAATTTTTCATTCTAAACTTTGGTTAAATTAAATGAAGTTTTCAAAATATTCAGTATTTTATGCTTTCATTAAAGTTTTTGTTTATTAGTTGTGCAATATTCCCGAAGAACCCTGTAGGCGTTCTCTGCAATATTGATGTATTTGTTTTTGCTTTGTTGTTACTGTGTTCACGCACCACGGATCTGCCTTAGAAAACAGCCAGGCAACTAGCTAAATGGGATTAGACTTATAAAAAAAAAATAAACTCAAAAACTTAAACTTAAAATATGGGATGAGTTCAAATACTGACTTCCCTCTGAGGGTATGATGTGTTTTCTTGGGCTATTGTCCCAAGTGGAATTTTTTTAATGTTGTCTTTTTCTCAGAATAAGACTATTCATTTATATTGGAGGAACTCTATGAGCTGTAAAGCTCATTTTCACAGTTGTGCAGTAGTTTTCACAGCTGTCTGCATGTGTCCTGCGCTCTCTTTCCAAATCCCTAGGCTGACAGCGTTCGTGCTGAGGACTTTCCTACAGGCACGGAGTTATATCCCTGTGGACAGCAATGTGATCGACACTGCTCGCAACTTTCTGCTGAACTCTTTAGCACCATCTGGTCAGTTCACGGAGCATGGCTACGTGATTCACAGGGAGCTGCAGGGCGGCTCTGCCAGCCACATCAGCCTGACGGCCTACACTCTCCTCGCCTTCCTGGAGGACAGTCCGGTAGGCAGATGATACACAATCGTCTTGGAATATTTAATTGAGACAAAGATAAATCTAAACTTCTTCTTTGTATGGCTGATGTAGATATAGAGCAACTCATTTTATATAAAGGTGGTTGACCCAGATAATTGCATCAGGAGTAGTAGAATGATTGACTATGATGCCTCCTCCTTATTTGTGAATCGGGCACTGAGTCCGTTATACATTCCATGGTCTGTTCTGGGTGACCATAGTCGCACACTGGAGAAGTTTTAATTTGACATTTGTGTATCAAGTAACCACATCTGCCATAGCTGGTAAGGATGTGGTTCTGGGTATCCCATATGCTTCATGGAAGATTAAAGCCAGGGAATTTCTACATCAGGTCTTTCATGAGGTATTTGTTTATCTTATTGTGAACTCCATTCAGCTGTTTTAGCACTATCAGGGTTGAAATTGCATTTCTGAAGGTTAGGCGCATGGGTCCAAAATGCTTGCATAACTTGACGCGGTGGTAAGGGACGTTATTGAGATCCTATTGGAACGGGAGATGTACTTTTTCCATGATTATCTCCACTTTTCCCTGAGGGTTGCAGCATCGCAGGCAATGGATCTGTGAGCAATGCGCAAAAACGTGGAAAATGTCAGGGTGTTGTGGCCATCTTGGGGGTTCCAGTATTCAGATGGACATCAACAAGTCAAGCCTGGCTATTTCTGGTTCATACCGGTGTACCGTAATACTGCTATGGAGTACACAAGCATCATCACTGCTATATGAAACACTGATGCCGATGCTCCCCAGCTTGTGCTTGACAATTTCTGGACCAGGTTGACCTTTGTCTTCTTTTTAGCGGCTATCTTTTTTATTTGGCCAAAAAAGGTTATCCTGTGGTGCAACTTCATTCCTAGATAGCTCAGAATTGGGTAATATTATACAGTTTTGCCACAAAAAGACACTTTCAGGGTGCGCTTAGCATTTCTGTTCACAAGATGAAAGGTAGTGACTGTTGATTTGTGCAGATTTGGTTTGAGCGTCCATTTCCAGAAATATCCGTCCATGGTGTTTAGGTCCCCGTTCAAGGTGGACTTGATGTCATTCAAGGTGGCTGCTTGTTTTACCAGGGCAAGGTCATCTACGTATGCAAATTTGTGTAACTTTTTTGGTGACACTCATGAAGACATTGGTGATCATTTAGCCTTGTGGCAGTCCATTGTTGAGGGACTGGGGTGAACTGGCATTGCCACTAAAAGGGACATGTAACTGTCAATTACTCAGCATCATCCATAGCAAGCAAAGTGTTTTGAAACAGTGGATGATCCTTGCGAGCTTTATCATCATGCTTTTAATTCAGACTGTGTCATAGGCCAATGGGACGGTATTCCAAAGTGGAGCAGTTCAAGCAACTAAGTGGAAATATAAGCGTTTTAACCAGCAGTATGGCGGTTTAACAGTACATGTTTACCTCAGTTTATGCGGGTTTGATTTGTACAATTTTACATATGAGGCAAACTTATTTCTACCCAAAATCGTTAAATGCGACTTGAATTCACTGATATCCTGCTATGTGGTCGAACATGTGACAATAAAGTAGCTATATATATTCTTGGTTCTTATTGTATTGTTTCCCTTCTACGTGACTTTACCGAAAGAACCAAGAATATGAATCCCTGCAGTAACGAAAGCTTTAAATCAAAATGTATATATATATTCAGTTATTTCCAAATATTTTATAATTCTTGCTCGGGGTGTTTTTGTATTTTTACTTTGCATAGGCAGGTTATACATTGTGTAAGCTATTACATGCAGTTATTAGGGCTTGTGGATGAGGTGGGAGGCGAGGGGTGAAATTGGGACCCCTTCTGTGGATGTCTCATTGTTCAGAAGGTAGTGTTCCTGATCTTGCTTTTGACTTTCAATGCGTAGAGGGTCACTTTAATTTTTCTATCCCCTAGATTGTGCTACCTTGAGCAGGTGTCAACCCCACTCTTCTTAAAGACCCAAGTGTTTCACTCTCTCTTCTTCCTCCTTCTCTCTCTCTGCTCATATATTTTTTTATTTTCCTTCCCTCTGATTCTCTTTCCCATCTTAGATCATAACTCGGGGTTCCTCCAGATCCATTCGTTTAAACTAATTGTGCTAACACCATGTATCCTGTTTCTGTTTTCCTTGGTTTGCATTGATGAAATAAATAAATAAACAGATAAATAGATAGATGCGACCTTACAAATAATTATGCTGCTGTGCCATTATATAGTGCAGTCAATACTGATCATAAAACTTGCACATTATATTTTTCTTTTGCATGAGACTGCATAGGGTTTTGGTGAGATCAAATAACACAATGACAATGGAAGAATCATTATTGAATATCCTGCAGTGGTGATCAGCATGCATTGTTAGGGATCTGCATATTGGAGTGGTTGACCTGAACACATTGGTTAAAGGTGCTTTTCTTTAATTACCCAAAAATGATCATTCTGGTGCTTGTGGATTACAGAATAACAAGGTGAACATCTCAAGTGCTATCCACTTCCTGGAGGCGAATGTGAGTGGTGGCGGTGTGGCAGCCAGCCTGCCCTTAGCCCTCACAGCGTACGCCCTTTCCCTCGCCAAAAGCAGCCACGCCGATACTGCCCTGACCCTACTCAACAACCGCTCCACTTTAATAGGTCAGGCACTATGGCAACATGTGCCCACTGAACTCACAACTTCTGAATACGTGATATTTTAGTTACACGTCATACAGGACCTGTCAACTGACGACTGGATTAAGTTCCCATTCGAGTGTTATGCTTAACTTTTGTAACTATTCCAATAACTTATTTCTGTTAACCTGATAATATTGTCTCCTTCACATTTCTGTCTCTCCATATAAAACAATGAAATAATTTCTTACACAACCCATCCACCGCATAACCTTCTGGTGGTGCATAATTTCAACAGTATTGAATCAAGACAAGCAAACTCTGGGCTGGTTTTGACATTTGTGTCTCATCATCGGAGTCCGGGTGACAAGCTGCGTTTTGAGTAAAATACTAAATTAAATAAAAACGTTAACTTGTACATTCTATTCCAGAGAATGGGCTGAAGTTCTGGTCAGACTCTGCATCAAGTGAGCAGTCCTACTACTGGCAACCGTCGGCCATCACCATTGAGACCACAGCGTACGCCCTCCTTGCTCATCTTCATCAGAACAAAATTGCAGAGGCGGTCCCTATCATGAATTGGCTGAGTCAGCAGAGGAACCACCTGGGAGGATATGCCTCCACACAGGTAACGACACTACCTGGGGAACATTCCTCTACAGAGTTGCTTGAAAGTGACACAATTCATAATTTATATTTTAAGTTTTTTTTTGTTTAAGGCAGTTGCGTGATTTCTGTGATAGCATGTCTGATTTGCAAGGAAGGGTAGCATACTTCAATATGGTTTACCGTTGATTCGGCTATTTTAATACACACAATAGACAGGAAGGACAAGATCTACTGTAAGGGCTCGCATAATGCATATGAATAATGTAGGTTGACTCAGTAATCCCCCCCCCCCCCTTGGCGCAAGAGCGCAGACGCGTGGTCACCACACCTACACCTCTATATAAGGAACGAAACAGTTAGACTTCTCCACAAATCTGGCTGTCGCCTGATGAAGCTAGTTGTAATTACTGGCGAAACGTCGTACTCAGATTGTAAATGTTGCGGCTTGGCTCTCCAACACACCGGTGTGCTGTACTGGTGACGAATTGGCATGTTCTGTTTACGTGACAAACCTTACTAGTTAGCTGTGTCGGTTGGTGGTGGGTTTTAACGACACATTTATATATTTACCCAATCTAACCAAAAAAATTTCGATTATAGATTATATTGGTCACGAAAGCTTACGTGTTAAACTTGCAAGGAAGACTGGGAAAAGACAGAGTTAGGGTTTGAAAATAAACAATATGAAGATTGTAATTTTTTGTGAAATGTAGCATATTTATGATTTGGTCTTATTCGGTTATACTCTATTGGCAGTGGTGCAAAAAAACACGTAACAAACTCAACACATTCATCAATAACACTGCCTTATAAGAAAAAACAAATATATTAGGTGGCATCTTAGGGAATTGCCCTTCTACATTCCACATAGATAAAGGGCCATTGCCCAAAGGGTTGCCTATTATGTTTCCTTTGAAGCCAGTTTCATGATGAATAATGATATGCTACGCAATAAAGTAAGAATGGACAATAAAGTAACAGTAGTAGTAGTAAAATAAAGTAACTTTGAATAAACATTTTTATTACTTGTAATCATATGTAATTCTGCACGTTATTATTATTGACGTAATATGTTGTGTATTTAGTTAGACATTTAACATTTACATTTAGAAAAAATATATTTGTTGTCAACATGTCAACGTCATGAATGTAACATACCATGAAATAAAATTTGGAAGGCAAATGAACGTATCAATACATCTTCTAAATATAGTTCGAGAAATATTAATAATTCTATACTTCAAAGTGATTAACAATAAAATTGATGTAAAAATAAGTAAAACACTGGATGAATATTACATGGAGATTTCTGGTTGTGATAGATGTATAAATATTTGTCATGGAAACTGTCCTTTACTCCGGTGAACAGAGATATATCTGTATGGGCAGTGTTCGACTTTCGAACGGGTTACTTTCCTGAGATTCTTCATAAGTCGATTTGTTCGTACCTCAAAATACAATTTTTTATTGTACGTACTGTACATACTATACCTAAAATATGTTTTGGTTCAACGAAAAATCGGAGCATTGTTACATTCATAACTAAGAGGAAATTATGTACATTTCCATGTCATACCATAATAAAAAAAGTATATAGTAAATTAAACAAAATGAAATAACATTAATACGCTGGGTTTTTTTTTCACTTAGCTTGAGTCCTGCTGTCGGCTTGCTTGCTGAAAGGGTGTTTCTAGGATGCTGGGACTCATTACATCTCGCGGAGGATCGATTCGCTGAACAAAATAGTTCTGCGGTTCGGTTCATAAGTACGACCGAACGTTCGCAAGTCAGATGGTTATAAAAAACAACATCTTGTGGCAGTTCATTCATAAGAGCGGATGTTCATAAGTTGGGGACTGCCTGTAGAATATTTTCCAAAAATTAACAGAAATACAAGTAACAGTATTGTTGGCTTTGGGTTCACAGGACACAATAGTGGCGCTGCAGGCTCTGTCCGAGTTTGCCGTGTTGCAGTTTGGAAAAGTGTCTGGGTCACTAACTGTCTCTACCGCATTGCCAAGCAGCCCCATCACCGTGCAGCTGTCCGGCATGAATGCCACGGACAAGCGCATTGTGAAGGTACCACACCCTACCATGGCCGGCACTTAGGATGCATTCAATAAATCTCAGGGATAGGCAGGAAGCTGCTCATGGTGAGTGACAGGAAGCTACTCATGGTGCAAAGTGCACAAAGATGGTGAGGTGCTTGCTTGGAATTGCACTGGGAGACAGGAAGAGGAACAAACAAATAGAGAACATATCTAAGGTAAATGTGTAAATGTGACTGTTAAGAATAGTGGGCTTGGGCAGGACACATCACTCAAAGGGATAAAGGATGGTGGCTGAGACTAATAATGGAGTGGCAGTTAAGAAATAATGTATACCGTAGATATGGAGTGCTAAAATCAGCTTGTGTGCAGGAGCTGAATGGATTATTAGATCATGAGAGATAGTGATGATTTTGGTAACTTTTATCCACCAGTGCAGAGACCATCGCTGATGATAGATTCCTGTGTTTTTAATGGCATTTCATTCCTTCTATTCCAACAGATTTCTACAAGCTCAAACTTAAATGTGACTCTGTCTGGAACTGGTAGTGGACAAGTTATTGCACAGGTATTGGCTGCCCTGAAATGTAATGATAAAACAGTCATTCTCTCAAGGATCCAGCGTACCACATGGGACTCTTATTTTCTGCTCTGTGACCATAATATATCATACTACAAATAGTGTAATTGATGTTGGTAGTGTATTTATGACCTGGGACACGTCTTACTTGATTCCGAAAGTAGAATTTGATTGTTATTCATGATGTATATATAAATATGAATGTATGTTTAGTTTTAAAAGCTGCATTCTAAAACATCCACATTATGATAAGACACACATGTATCCACCCGATTATTTGTGATGAGCTGAGTCAATACCAGGTTACACTAGTGGGTGACAGAGTTTTTTTTATGTAGACATATATAGACAAGTATAGATCGACTCAGTTAATGTTACGTAACACGGGGTCATTCGGGAGTGTGGTATAGATGAAATTAAGAGTGTCGTGCTGATAAGTATTGCCGTGCCTTCGCAGCTGAACGTGTTCTACAACTTGCGGGATTCCCCGGTGGTACGCAGGGCTCGCTCGGCAGCCCCCAGCCCAAGCTACGAGCTCGATGTGTACTTCGAAGACACCGGGGTTAACGGTTCCATCGGGGAGCAGGTGGTGCTGACAGCATGCACAAGGTATGGAGGAAGCTTGAGGGGTACTCTTTGGTTCTATTCGGTAAAGTCACGTAAAAAACAACAAAAAATAAAAAATTCACGACGTGTCGGCCACAACACAAGTGGCCTTCATCTGGTGAAGGGACCAGACTGTCTAGAGGACAGCGCTGGAGTGAACACAGCCAAGCTCAGACCGCGACTTTTAAGCTTGTGTGAGAGGAAGCAGAGCGCCTTGACAAAGGAATTAGCATAAAAAATTGCATTTGATTGGCGGACTTAGCATGATGAATGATATACGGGGGGGAGCATGTGCAGACCGGCGAGGGGGGGAGGGGGGAGTTTACATATTGATGGTGTGAAAATGGAATTTGAGCAGCGGCGAAAGTTTAGGATACCACTACTTGAAAAAATATACTGTACCATTGAAAATTAGTTTAATGTTTGGTTTGATTCAGAACATCTTTCCAATGGTTGCTTAATTTGAAACCATCCTCTCGGTTGAAATTGTGTCTGTGTTTGTAAATCTGAATTGCCTCGTGAACAAATCTCTGCTAAAAACCCGTGGGTTTGCAAAGAACCTTGGTATCGGAGAAAATGATATCGTGATCACCCACAGTGTTGTAACAGGGGTCAGCTACGGCAGAAGAATTCGTTCTGCCGTGTTTCAAATCTGATTTGTGCTCGCGAATTCGGTCAGAGACATGTCGTTTCGTCTCCCCGATATAGCAGTCACTTTGCAAGCTGTGATGAACCCGTCCATGTACACGATTGTCTTCACGGGGTAACACAATGTCCAGTTGCCTGCACTGGCAACATCGGTGTGGTTACTTGGGGGAGTAGAGCAGGGAGAGCCTCCATGCTCCTCGCTCCTCCTGAACAACTCTACTGAACAGGTTTAACGTCTGTGAAGTTAGAGAATACTATGCACATTACAATTTGAAAATAATTTAAATGTTTCATGCAACAAGTAAACCCAGACTGACACGTGCTACATTTTCACCTTTATTATATGTTGGTAAATTTACTTACGTTTGGCGCTATCTCCCATTGCACCTGATAATCGAGATTAACTGTTTTGTACATGCACATGAGACAAAGACACCTTTTAGAGACTGTTTGCAGTGTTATTTTAATGTTGGTTGCTTGAAACGAGAAAGTGACTTGGCTCAGGTGAAGGTCGATGTGGATAGGCTCCAGCCATGGCCATGTGTACACTAACGTGTTGTCAGTTGTGCAAGTACCCAACAGCATAGACATAACACTGCGTCGTGCTTTGATTTTGTGTCCACAGATGGATGGGCCAGGATGCCTCTGGCATGGCCCTCATGGAGACGAACCTGCTCAGTGGCTTCTTGGGTGATGACAAAATCGCCCTAACTGACAACCTCAAGCTCGTGGAGACATCGACAGGAAAAATCCACCTCTACTTTGTGAATGTACGTGCTCTCTGCAGACCAGCCAATCACAGTGGTGTGCGACCTGACATCTTATTGTGCCCGACCAATTTATTTGCATTTTTTAAAGCAGTAATTACTGTAAATGTTTTATTTTCCCCTTTAGCTAAATGAGAATTCAACTTGTGTGAACATCACACAGCATAGAGTTGCACCAGTGGCAAAAACAATGGAAGCATTGGTTTCAATTAGTGACTACTATGAACCAAGTAAGTACAATTAATCTCTAAAAAACTTTTAATTTGCTAAAACCTACCTTTAATTTTGCAGGATGATTTATCTTCACACTACTCATCACTTTGATCTTTAGTCAAGTTATCACACTCTTTCAACTTGGAGGGAAATTCATCGGACCAAATGTATCTTTAATACATACACACTCAGTCTCTTACCTATCCAAATAATGTATTCAGGATCAATATCCTCAAAATCTTAGACATTCCACAGCACGTAAGTGCATTATATAATGGTTCTCACCCATTCTATGTGAATGCCCTAAACGCCTGGAATTACATGCCTTCAAAAATGTCCTTGGTTAAAAATATGTTAAACTGTTGATTCTGTATGAGTTAATTTAATAATGAATTGCATTAATATATCGCCTTTTACAAGTTTATCAAGATACTGTACATCATAATGAATATATACATAAATCATTGGCCATGGCGAGGAAAAACTAACAAGAACTTAAGTTTCTTGTATGTTCACATATATCCTTATTTGTTTACGTATTATTACTACAGTAAGCTTACGTATGGTGAATGTAAATCAGTGTACTTCATTCCAAGGACATTGGCGGCCCCTGGTGGCCAACAATACACAACATTTCTAGATTTAAAGCTTTCGTGACTGCAAGGATCCATACTCTTTGGTTCTATTGGGTAAAGTCACGTAGGTAAAAAATAAAATAACAAAAATCACGACGTTTCGGCCACAACACAAGCGGCCTTCATCAGGTGAAGGGACGAGACTGTCTGGAGAACAGCGCTGGAGTGAAAAAAGCCACGCTCAGATCACGACCTTTAAGCTGTGTGAGAAGAAACAAAGCGCCTTGACAAAGGAATTAGCATATAATTTAGCATTGAAATGGCTGAGTGATTAGCTTGTGACTGGTCACAGAAATGGCTATGTTAAAGTTAAAGCATACACATCCGCAAAGGCACCCCTTGACAAAGGAATTAGCATAGAATTTAGCATTGAAATAGCTAAGTTAAAGTATACACATCCACAGAGGCACCCCTTGACAAAGGAATTAGCATAGAATTTAGCATTGAAATAGCTGAGTGATTAGCTTGTAACTGGTCACAGAAATAGCTATGTTAAAGTCAGAGCATATACATTCACGAGGCACCTAGTACAAATCAAACAGGAGAATTTAGCGAAACACAACCACGCTCAGACCGCGGACCTTTAAGCTGTGTGCGAGCAAACAAGGTGTCCTGACAAAGAAATTGGCATAAAAATTAGCATTTAATTGGCCGATTTTAGAAAAGAGGTGGTGTACGTGCCGGTGGACTTGCCGTTTGGCGCGGGGGGGGGGGGGGGGAGTTTACCCATTGATGGTGTGAAAAGGGAATTTATAAGAGCTGCGAAAGTTTGGGGTACCACTACTTGAAAAAAATATACTGTACCATTGAAATTAGTTTAATGTTTAGTTCGATTTAGAACATCTTTCCAATGGTTGCTTAATTTGAAACCATCTTCTCGGTTGAAATTGTGTCTGTGTTTGTAGATCTGAATTGCCTCGTGAACAAATCTCTGATAAAAAAACCCGTGGGTTTGCAAAGAACCTTGGTATCGGAGAAAATTATATCGTGATCACCCACAGCGTTGTAACAGTGATCAGCCACGGCAGAAGAATTCGTTTTGCCGTGTATCAGATTTCTGTGACCAGTCACAAGCTAATCACTCAGCCATTTCAATGCTAAATTACATGCTAATTCCTTTGTCAAGGCGCTTTGTTTCTTCTCACACAGCTTAAAGGTCGTGATCTGAGCGTGGCTTTTTTCACTCCAGTGCTGTCCTCCAGACAGTCTCGTCCCTTCACCTGATGAAGGCCGCTTGTGTTGTGGCCGAAACGTCGTGATTTTTGTTATTTATTTTTTTACCTACGTGACTTTACCCAATAGAACCAAAGAGTATGAATACACAACATGTGAAAACACCCCCCTACCGTGCTGTCAAATCCCAATGGTTTCAAATGTGTGGCGGCCCTCAGAATTATGTCTTTATCGGCCAAAGTAGCCCCCCTCTCAACATGAGTGAACACTGATATTAATATTTCTGTAGCATAGTTTTCTAATAAGGGCTGTGTTGTTCAATCAGGAGGTAATCTGCCCAATCTGCTTTGCTCTGATGTGAATTATGTATGCAATCTTTTCAATTCCTCATGATAGTTACTTTGTCTTGCATTTGTCATTTGTATTATATAGATCACGAGCAAATTAGGCTATCATGCTCTAATGAGTTCTCACCTGGTTAAACAAAATATGTATACTTTTATATTAGCTAAATCTTCTGATGATGAAATCGCCAAGTATCCATTGGAATTTCTCTTTTACTTAAGTCTAATTGAATGTTGGACTTGTTAATATCATAGGATGCTAGCTTTTCACATATGAATGTTTGATTGTATGGATACTTAGCTTAATGGTTTAAGTTGTATATACCATGATTTCACCAGAATATAAACTGTCCAGCAGAATAGCTGTATCAAGTGCTATTCTGCTGTGACTGTTCCACCTGAAGACGGAAGCTTGTGTTGCCTCCGAAACGTCGTGATTTAATTTAGTTGTTTTCATCTATTTTATTTTTATTTTACCTACGTGACTTTACCGAAAAAAACAAAGAGTATGAATCATTGCAGTCACGAAAGCTTCAAATCTAGAAATAAACTGTCCAGTGTAGCTACCTTAACTCCCTTTATATCATCATCTTGTGGAATATTTTCTTTAAAATTATCATCAAAAGCAAACAGTAAATGTGATAAAGAGGATCCTTGATTTTTTCCTTTACCAAACTAAATACTGAATGTAAAAATCGAAAGTTAAGTATTGCTGCATTTCTATAAAGTATGCTACAGTAAGACTTATACCCATATCCTAAGTAAACGTATATGTTGCTTAACACTACATGTTGCTTAACATTACATCTATTGCACTTCCTTATTGCATCAGTACTGCTGAGAAAATGCAATTACTGTACGTAAAAATTCTAATATATATTTAATGACATCCTACCAATCATAACTTCTGCTAGAGTTTGGTGAATCATTGAAGGTATTATCTTTAAAATATGTTTTGGCATTCCATGAGTAAAATATATTCATAGTTCTGAGGTGTTACATTTTATACTGAACCTTAAATGTATAATTAAGTATTTAAATAGCATTATACCACCATGCAATCAAAATGTCTATAATATACCTACAGTCAACGTAAATACATGTTAACTACTGAAGTTATATTATTTCAAAAATATGATTCCAACTGAGAGTGTTTTTGCCCCTCTGCCTCTTTCTTCACAATTAGGAACAAGAGTGGAGATGCAATACAAATCCCTAAAGCTGTCTAATATAACCTTGCAGTCCTTATGTGGTGAAAACTGCACGTTTCAAAGCAATGTACTTGCTGCTGCTAACGAGACCACACTGAATGCTAGCAGCACTACTGCCGCCACCCAGACCACAGTAAAGGCTAGCGGCATCATGTCAGGTAGTGGTATGAACCCTTCTCTGTGGTTCCTGATGCCTGCTGCCTTCTGCCTGTCCTGGATGGGGCTCTGAAGAATACTCCTCTATGACTGGGGGGCCTTGAAAGCATTCGCTCACAGCTATGTTATTTGTATCCACTTCACAATGTAGTGTGTGTGCCTTCTAATCAAATAGAAAAAATATGTAATAAAACAAATCATATGATACTTTATAACTTGTATGTTTCAGTTGCTAATGTATGTGTAGCCAAAGATGGCTGAGCAGGGGGTTAGGAATATTGTTTTGGAATACCGTTATTGGTGGTGGCTGTCAACTCACATTTGACATTTTTCAGCATGTAACAAGAGCACTCCTTTAAACTAACATACATAATCATGATGTGTTATAGTATTACCCTCCACAAATATATAAAGGAGAAATGCAAGTTAATAAACATGCAACTTATGGGCCTGCACTGATTAAAAATATCAAAACCTGAATCACTTTGTTCAACAATCATGAGATACCATTACAATATTTGCATTCTCTTTCTGTAAGGGCACACTTTTCCCAGTCCTTTTTTATTTCTTGGAACAACTGTTGCTTTTGTGTTTATATCTGTAACAGTGCCATAAACATTCCTTTCAGAGCAGCTCTTTGTTTAGGGAAGTATGTGCACAAGATTGATAACGAATCATTGAAATCAAGAAAGAATAAACACGATGAATTGTGAATAAATGGTTTACTGGATGTATGTGGTATGTTTAAATCTTTATTTCTGTGCGATGGTGACGTGCACCGTTATGTTCACATTTAGGCCCACGACTTCTAAACTTGTTTTTTGGGACTTGTGTGCATTTAGAAGAAACGTAATAATGGCTCGAGTTAAAAGCAGATATTCAATAATGGCTTAAGTCATTTCCAATGTCCACTATCTTCACGAACCCACCCTGCCCGCGTGGTGAAGTATGGTCATATATCTTGCCCCAATGGTAGTGCAGCCTTAAACTTGGTCTTCAGTCACTTGCAACTCTGGTGCATAATGTCAGCAGGGTTTGTATAGGTGTAATTAATGTTATGAACCTTTGGGTAACAACACGACACCTCGATTTTACAATTTCTAAATAAAATGTACGTACTTTTGTCTAAAGAATAAAATTTTGCTTCATGGGAAACATAATTTAAATAAACTGGGTTGGACATAATTGATATTAGCAAGTGAAGATGGAAAGTGAAGAACCCCATACCTCTCTGTACTCACTGTACTATGCTAATGATCTGATAAATGTTGTTTCCAAAATTATGATAAAAATTACTGCATTTCTTCCGATGATTTGTGCTAATTATTGGGCCATGACGTTTTGACGAGAAATGTAACTGAATGCCAATATCTCGATCTCAGTCCATAAACAAAATGTTAGGCATCCAAATGCATAACAAGACAGTGGCACATGCCAGGATGTTAACCAAAGCCAACAACGGCTTCTTCCTGAAGAAGATATTTCAAAGGAGCCCCTCTGGCCTTCCACCAGATTTCCATTCAAAATTAGTTGCTATTTGAGATATTCTTTGGGTCTTTCGGTAAAGTCACATAGATAGGTTCAAAGAAAATAACAAAAAAATACGACGTTTCGATCACAACACAATCGTTCATCATCAGGAAGAGATGGTCAGCTATTAAATGGTTAGCTTCTAAAGGTAAACTGTTTATAAAGGTTTGAAATGGGTGTAGCCCAAATGTCAGTAGCCAATGTAAGTGGTGGGCAGCGACCGGGATGGTGGTGGGTTTTCACACCAATGAAAGGGCTGCCCGGTAAAATTAGCATGATAATGTAAGATCGTTCAGCAGCTTCCACGGTGGGTGCCCTGAGTTGGCTATGTTAATGTGAGATATTAGCATGTTAATGGAAGATCGCAAAGCAAAAACCTCGAGCTCGGTGAGCGAGGTGGCTGTGTTAGGGTGAGAAATTTAACCTGTTAATGTAACATCAGAGAGCTGAAAATAACTAACATCGGAAGGTGGTAGGATGGGAACATCACAGCCAGTTATGACTAAAACTGGTTGATAACGTCCTTCCAATGATTGCTCAGTTCATGCCCATCTTCTCGATTTAAATTGTTTATGTGTCTATATATATGGTTGCAAAGTACCTTCATCTTAGATAAATAAATTCTGTATATTTTAAATTGTTATTTCAAATCTAGAAAAGGATTCAAAAGCAAGCTACTAATTTTGTTAAAAGTACAGTGAGGGAAAAAAGTATTTGATCCCCTGCTGATTTTGTACGTTTCCCCACTGACAAAGAAATGATCAGTCTATAATTTTAATGGTAGGATTATTTGAACAGCGAGAGACAGAATAACAACAACAAAATCCAGAAAAACGCATGTCAAAATGTTATAAATTGATTTCCATTTTAGTGAGGGAAATAAGTATTTTACCCCCTCTTAATCAGAAATATTTCTGGCTACCAAGTGTCTTTTATACAGGTAACGAGCTGAGATTAGGAGCACACTCTTAAAGGGAGTGCTCCTAATCTCAGCTTGCTACCTGTATAAAAGACACCTGTCCACAGAAGCAACCAATCAATCACATTCCAAACTCTCCACCATGGCCAAGACCAAAGAGCTCTCCAAGGATGTCAGGGACAAGATTGTAGACCTGCACAAGGCTGGAATGGGCTACAAGACCATTGCCGGGAAACAATAAAATAATAATATATATATAAATTCTCACGACGTTTCGACCATAACACTAACGGTCATCATCAGGTGTGAAAACCAACGGCAAGAAACATTTGAAAGAAGTGGGGGTCCGCATTTATTTATTTATTTTAAACGGTCTTTGCATTTATTTATTTTTAAGAATAACGTTAGCACCACGGGCAGCGATTTGGCAGTTTGTTTAGAAGGACGAGTCCATCTATGTTCTGAAAAGAGAAGGGGGGAGACGAAAAATTAATGAATGCTGTCTGAAAGCCACCGTAAGCGTGAACAATCAATTAAGACCTGAAATGGTTTATCAAATCCTTCCAATGATTGCTAAGCCAGAATCCATCTTCTTGGTTGAAATTGTCTCTGTGCTTGTATATGTGGATAGCCTCATGAACGAATCTCTCATGGTAGCCAGATGGCTTACAAAGAACCTCTGTCTTGGAGAAGTCAATGTCATGTGAGCCTACTGAATTATAACAATGATCTGCCACGGTCGAGGTGTTGGTCCTACCGTGTTTAAGGTCTGCTTTGTGTTCACGAATGCAGTCCGAGACATGGCGTTTGGTTTCTCCAATGTAACTACTACCACAGAGGCAGCTTAGTTTGTAGACACCAGGGTACTGTATGTCCGAAATCACATCTTTTACAGACGGAACCAGATCACGGATTTTATGTAATGTGTTGAAACGGACCTGGATATTGTGTTTATTCAAGATTTTGGAGATCTTTTTTTGTGATCCCCGCAATGTAGGGTAAAGTGATGATTTTGAATTACGGCAGTCACGAAAGCTTTAAATTAAAAAGGTGACAACAGTTGGTGTGATTATTCGCAAATGGAAGAAACACAAAACTGTCAATCTCCCTCGGCCTAGGGCTCCATGCAAGATCTCACCTCGTGGAGTTGCAATGATCATGAGAACGGTGAGGAATCAGCTCAGAACTACACGAGAGGATCTTGTCAATGATATCAAGGCAGCTGGGATCATAGTCACCAAGAAAACAATTGGTAACACACTACACCGTGAAGGACTGAAATCCTGCAGCACCCGCAAGGTCCCCCTGCGCAAGAAAGCACATATACATGCCCGTCTGAAGTTTGCCAATGAACATCTGAATGATTTAGAGGACAACTGGCTAAAAGTGTTGTGGTCAGATGAGACCAAAATGGAGCTCTTTGGCATCAACTCAACTCGCCGTGTTAGGAGGAGGAGGAATGCTGCCTATGACCCCAAGAACACCATCCCCACCATCAAACATGGAGGTGGAAACATTATGCTTTGGGGGTGTTTTTCTGCTAAGGGGACAGGACAACTTCACCGCATCAAAGGGACGATGGACGGGGCCATGTACCGTCAACTCTTGGGTGAGAACCTCCTTCCCTCAGCCAGGGCATTGAAAATGGGTCGTAGATGGGTATTCCAGCATGACAATGACCAAAAACACACGGCCAAGGCAACAACGGAGTGGCTCAAGAAGAAGCACATTAAGGTCCTGGAGTGGCCTAGCCAGTCTCCAGACCTTAATCCCATAGAAAATCTATGGAGGGAGCTGAAGGTCGAGTTGCCAAACGTCAGCCTCGACACCTTAATGACTTGGAGAAGATCTGCAAAGAGGAGTGGGACAAAATCCCTCCTGAGATGTGTGCAAACCTGGTGGCCAACTACAAGAAACGTCTGACCTCTGTGATTGCCAACAAAGGTTTGCCACCAAGTACTAAGTCATGTTTTGCAGAGGGGTCAAATACTTATTTCCCTCATTAAAATGCAAATCAATTTATAACATTTTTGAAATGCGTTTTTCTGGATGTTTTTGTTGTCATTCTGGCTCTCACTGTTCAAATAAACCTACCATTAAAATTATAGACTGATCAGTGGGCAAACGTACAAAATCAGCAGGGGATCAAATACTTTTTTCCCTCACTGTAACAATTGTCAAGCAAGCAAATTCTGGACCAGTTCATCAATGGTCTCATTCGCAGAGATAGTCTTGCATGAACTATTGCTGGTCAACTTCCAGATGTTTATTACTGTTAGGTATGGGTCCGAGTTTGTTGCAGAAATACAGCAATACCTCGATATACGAAGTAGATGCGTTCCTGGAGCCTCATTCATGTATTGAAACTTCGTATATTGATTACTACTAGATTGAGCCAAGAATGTGTGTTCCGTGTGTGACGTCACTCGACATGAGGCCCACCCCCCGCGTGACGTCACTCCATATGAAGCCCACCCCTCATGAATATTAATGATTGGGTGGATTTTTACATTAACGCAGAGGAAGGTCGAGCTAAATTAAATAATGCATCATGCAAAGTCGCTTCAAATATGACGTTTCTTTAGAGAAAGTGACGGTAAAAAACAAATCTAAGCAGCACAGTGCTACATCCGTGCGTGACGTCACTGCAAAAGAGCCCCCCCCCCCTTCATTAATATTCATGCTCGCGTGGAAAATTACACAAACGCACAAGGTCGCGCACTTCACATGCCGCACCCCTCCCCTCATTAATAATCATGAGCGGGTGACGTCACCACATGCCACACCCCTCCACAATAACCACATGGGGCAACCCCCCTCATTGAACAATTTTTCTATTGAATATTTCAGATTTACTGCAATATACACCCGTCCTTGGACGGGCAAAAAAGCTAGTAACTTATAACAGTACTATTAGGATGCGTTTGCAGCCTTCGTAACTTACCAGGGGTGTGTTGAGCTATCATCGAGGCGTCAACTGGCATTATTGTCTTCCTCAACTTGTGTATGGCTAACGCTACGGTTCAGGCCCTTGTAAACGAAACTGTTCGAGTTCCCCCAGGTGCACAGATGCTTGTGCCCTTGCGGCTGCGGAAGCAGCTAAATCGGGAAGTTACTGAGGGGGGGGTTCTTTTAACCCCTTCGAACAGAGCGGTTCGTGGTCTCACTTTGGTGGGGGCCCAGACGATAGGGGGGATGAGAAGCCCTTTCTTTAGGTGTTGAATGCTGGGCTGGGTACCGCGGTTATACAGGCGGGTACAGTTTTGGAC